TCTCTCTCTCTCTCTCTCTCTCTCTCTCTCTCTCTCTCTCTCCTCTCTCTCTCTCTCTGTCTGTCTCACCGTGGAGCGAGGATCGTTTCTCGGAGAGGAGGCACCATAGGTAATGCAGTCTTTACTCATCCGGCTGTTGCCAACGTTGTAGCGACCTCGTTCCATCAACTTCTACGCGTTCCCTCTAGCTAGCTATCTCCTTCGTTTCCTCTTTCTCTCCTCTGCTCTCGCTTTCTCTCTCTCCCTCTCGTTTGCTGTCTCTCTCTCTCTCTTTCCCTCTCAGCCCTCAGCCCTCAGGAAAACTCAACCCCCTACCCTCAGTTCCAATAAGGCTGCCGCTTCCACCTCGTTTCCACCTCCTACTCTCCCTCTGCCACCCTGCTCTGCTTTTCACCCTCTGCTTCCCTCACGTGCTCACTCCCCCGACTCTCTCTCTCTCTCCTTCTCTTCTGCGCACCCTCAAGCAACCCTCCGTCGTACCCTAAAGCCCCGCTTCCACGGGAGAGCCAAGCCTCTCTCGCGCTCTCTTCGCCACAGCATTGTTGCTATCGATTCGGACTTGGAAACGTGTTTTTCTTCGGATATTTCGTGGCCACCGCCGGTTACGACCGCTGCCGCTCGACCGGATAACGAGGATTCTAGGAAGGCGGGTGTATGTCCAACCCTCGATTCACCCTTTTTCACGTCTCTTTCTACATCTCTCCGAGTTTCCACGTTACCACCTCCGCCGTTATATTTCCCGCGCTTAAATGCGGCGCGCCTTTTGCGCCCGCGATAAATATTTGATTTTACGTGCGAATTTCGTACACATTCGTTTCTCTCGTTCTCACTCATGTACATTTTTGCTTTCCCCGAAGACTGTTTACTTCATCTCTGCCACACATCTGCGCATTTGCCACACATTTACGTAAATATAAATTATATATCGACAGAACACGATGCAAATCCAAGTCGAATTTATAATAATAAAAAATTGATAAAAACGATTCTTGAAACTTGCTGTCCAATCATTGGAAATGATATACCGTTTACCAAACGTGTAATATTGATAATAAACAAGTTAATGTGTTAAATTTATTTTAAAAAAAAGTTCAAATTTGCCTTTTTGTCTCTCGTTAAAATTATTTTTCATGTCTTAGGTCTTTTTATTATAAAAATCATATAAATGCAGATATATATTCAAATGAACAGGCATATACAATATAGGCACGTACACACATATATACAAAAAATGTTGTGAATATTTCGAATTGTTTCCCGTCGCGCTGTAAATTGCTTTTATTACGCTATCGATTTTCGGTTATTTTGCTCCCGGTGTCCGCCTTTATATCAGAGCGCTAGTCGTGATCTGACAATTCGATACCGATAAGTCGCCAGCGGAGTTTGACGCGATGAGAAACTCCCATTAGACTCGATGGCCGTAAGCTGCGTTCCCTCAGAGATAGACTCGAACCACTTTCGTCGTCTTTGTTACGCCGAGATGTTCGCCGGCTTGGCTTCGATTGTTTCGCAAAGGCCATTGAGGAACCCGTGCCACTTTACGAAGCTGACACGTCGCTGCAAATAGACAACCGGGCCGCCCGGCGGCGAAATAAGGAAATCACACGAGAGATTTCAACGAACGTTACGATATTAAGCTGCACCTTCTAATGCCGACTGCATTTTGCGTGCGACATTCTCGCGGCCTTTCGTCAAATGTCTGAACGTGCATTCAGGGAAGTTTAAACGTTTACTCAAGTTTTTTGCAAATAGAGCTTAAATATCGCGTTTGCAGCAAATACAAGGATACGTGATATACATCTCCCATACTTACCATATATCTTAGAATTAAAAGTCGTGTTTGTTGCAGTATTATTTTATGTGTAAAATCATAGCACAAAAAAAGCAAGGATATGTGCTCCACATTTATTTATTAATTACATTTTCTGTCGTTTCCGAGTACAAGATTTTGCGTTGATACATCGTGTATATGCGCATATTACTTTTACATGAGATTCTGCGCTAATTTGGCTGACGAATTTAATCAATTAAGGTCGGTCCATAGTCAGCCGCGTCTTGGATTGTGATCGAGCGACGTCGAAGAACGTCGGAGATTTCAACGATCGGCCATACTTTGGCCGGTGCGCGCGTACATGCAATCCGTCGATGCGTCGCGAAGAGTGCCATTGTCTCGCGATATATTCGTCGTTCATCGCGCTCCCATAATTCTCGTTTCCGATGGACCATCCGATTAAGGCGCGTCCCCCGCGCGGTCCCCCGTGACCCGTAGTGGCGATATTACTGGGGGCTTAACTCGATCGAACGGCGATTTAACATTTCACCCTCGCTGGCTTGCGCGACGTATGTGACGTCCATTGTCCTTCGGGGATTCCGATTAAAAGAGAGAAAAGAAAGGTTTTCATGGACGAATAGTGGCGAGAGTTGGAATTTTGCAATCGATTTTGAATGGAACGTGAAGTGATCACATTATGTTATCGCATTAGTTCTTTGACGTTCTCTGATGTCCTGCGATGCAACAATAAGTCTCGATTATGTTAAGTCGAAAATAATTTCTTTTCTGTTCTTTCGCTTCTGGAAAACTATCTGTTAGCATTGGAGACCCTTTTCCATTAACAATATAATATAATTGCAAAAAGTATTTCTCAATTTAATGCCGGTAATTATGCAACACAATTTATTAAAGAAATATATATTTATATGATCAATTCGTTATCTTTAACTCGATGTTTTAAATAAAAAGTACGAGAAACTAGCACGCTGTGCAATCCATATCTTTGATCTTCTCGCTTTCCGGAATATCGCGACGCTGTTTTTGAGAATTTGCGAAGAACATTCCGAAGAATCGTCAATATCGATCGTAGCTACGTCGAACAAACAGAATCATACAGCTAGTGCGACTTTAGATTCGAGCTTGCGTTCGGCACTTTTGGCATCTTCTTTAGCACACGATAATTTAACATGGACAAAATTCAAGTTAATTGAGCTAATTTAAGCTATACACGCACACACATACGTGCATATATAGCGTATAATCATACAGTTGTTAAAAAAGAACGCGAAAAGCAAAGTAATTTGTATCACAAGTATTTGATATCGCAAGAATGTATAACGCTTAATTAAAATGCGCAAAATTGAACATTATAATGCAGCTGATTTAATAATTACAAATTCTTTAGTTTCACGCTGTTGTGGAAGTATAATCGCAGCGTACGCATTGAATATTCAAAGAATAAGCCCGCGCGATGTCCGAAATTTGGCGAAATCGTCGCGCGCGGTCGACCAAGCTGGCGGAAGCGCGAAGGGTGAAAATGGGCTGAGAATTCAGATGGCTCGTCAACGGCACTGTCGGCTATTGCAATTCATATCGCGAGCCGTGCGGGAAGATCTCTTATTTTCTCGTTGTATCCGGACGAAACCTACCTATATCCTGGAACGTCTACCCTCGTTCCGAGCCACTACCCCCGCGTACCCTCGCAACAGCAGCAGCGGCGACGGTAGTCCTCTTCGTGTTCTCTCGACGTCCGACTCCGGCGGTTCTATCCTCCACGGAGGAGGAGGAGGAGGAGGAGGAGGAGGAGGAGGAGGAGGAAGAGGTGGATGAGGAGGAGGAGGAGGAAGAGGTGGAGGAGGAGGACGAGGATGAGGAGGATAGTGCGCCGAGCTCTAGAATGTAAGGGATGATTTTGGAGATAGCTCGAGGGTCGCTCTGGTACGTAGGAGTTGTAGGTTGGTGGACGGGGTGGCGCGCGGGGATAGGGAACGGTCGGGTCGAGACGAGTGGTATAGG